TAGAATTGTAAAATCGGAATGATTTTAATGTTATATCTCTGTTTTGTTTGAAATTATTGATTTTTCAAAAAAATTTAAAATTTGATCGGAATATCTCGCCGGATAAACAAAGAAAAGAACATGATTATGGCAGATATTGATAAGAAAAATGAGATCTTGGATATTTTTACGAATAAAAAAAATGCGTGATCAGCCGATAACAAGAGAGAAATGAGTTTGAATGATGGAATGTTCGGATTATATAAGGCGAGGATTTGATAACTCTTTTTTTGGTAACCGGTATCACCGATTACATGTTTCTATAAAAAAAACGTGTATTGGGTTCAATTTGAAAATTATTTTTTTGGGGCTTCACCAAATCGGGCCCATTAAACAAATAGTCTTATTGAAAATATTAGTCAAAATCACCTTTACTGATTTTTTTTTTATAAAAAACTTAAGTCCAATTCACCTCATTTTTTTAATATGTTACTCAACTCAATTCAACAAACTGTTTATAATGTAATTATTTGTTCAATAGATAATTTTGACCCAAATGTTTATATTTGGTGGCAATTGTAATAAATTCGGCACACATTTTATTATTCCTTATTTGTTTGAGGGTATTGTTCAAGTTTCAGCGGAGACCATTTCCTATCATGGTCTCCTATGCTATGACGATTAATAAGAGTCAAGACCAGTCTCTATCGCACGTCAGCTTAGTCTTGACGAACCATATTTTAAGTCATGGACTGTTGTACGTTGCTCTTTCTAGAGTCACGAATCAGAAGGGTTTGAAGATAATGATATGTGGTGATGGTGATTCCGACGATATGAAACTATAAATGTTGTATATAAAGAAGCGTTTAATAATATTTAGAATCATTTTCTTAATTCATATATTTTTTTCATGAATTAAATTATGATTATGTAATTTTTTTTTATATTGTTATCTTTGCTAAGTATTCTCCTCCGTGCATATGCACGCGATGATTACTAGTTTATATTGTAGGGAATGTTTTTTAATAAAACTCTTTCCATTTTTCTATTTCTTTCAATTACACTCATATGATAATTTTTCTTTTGTTTTTTTAATTTTAATCATCAATGCAATGTAATATGCATCTTTATCTATAATCATTTTTTTATTTTTTCTTTTCGATATTTAAATATTGTGACATAATTTCAACAACTATTCAATTATATAATTATTGGAACCTTGAATTTTGCGCTAATTTTTTTTTCTTGAAATATAAGATAAACAAGTTACTCTATATTTATTTATTTTTTTATATTGTAGCTTTAGATCATATATTAACAAATTTAATACAATAGATGTTCATTTACTAATTTTTTTTTATATTGCACTCGGTTTTCTTTTTTCAGTACGAATATGAAAAGTTGGAATAAAATAATACAATAATAATAAAAAATACAAACCAAATACAAAAAATTTAACTTTTTTTTTGAAATTAAATAAAAATNTATTTTTGAAAAAAAAAAGGTTACATTTTTTTATTATTCAAGTAATTATATTTTGTTTACATAACAACTTCTACTAATTAATCTTAAACACATATTAAATGATATATAAAAATTACATGTAAAGTTCTATTGCAATTTTTTTTCAACTTAATTATTTAAAACATTATTATCTTTTCTTTTCTACTCATTAAACAATATTTTATTAAATTATATAATTTATATTATGGCATACTCAAACCACTTATAATTTTACGCACAATTGTTGTAATAATTTCAGTATTAATTGCACGAATTAGATTATTGCAATCAATATAGTCATTTATATGTAACTTAAATAGTTTATATTAATATCATTTATTTTACGAATAAAAAAATTTGTTCATAAGCACATGATCAAGTACTAGTATAACTTGAATTTACAACAAATCTATTAATAATTGATAATATAAAATAAATATTATTGAGGGACGATCTAGTAATTAGGCAAATTAAAATTACAATTTTAAAATTGCTCGCAAATATTTAAGTTTGTTTTTTAAGTAATATATTTCACTATAAAAATATACATATTTATTTATAAATATAGTTATTTGTCAATTATATTTTGTCTAACATTAACGATTTTGAAGAATCTCATGTTCACTGCACTCAAATTTGTCCATTGCTTATATATTTTTAATAATTCGAATAACGTAAAGTTGTAGTAACCCGAATTTTTTCAACTTTGACCAGAATCTATATTTATATAATAAGAATTAACATTTATCCAAAATAGTAGGTCAAATTATAGTCAATGTCGGATTTGCATTAAATATTTTTCAAAACTGGTAAGTTTTTGTCCTTTTCACACTTCTCATTAATTATGTCTTTTTCACACTTCTCATTAATTATGTTCTTTTCACACTTCTCATTAATTATGTCATTTTCACACATCTAATTAATTCATTAATTACAACATAATTATCATAAATCATTCCATCTGAACGATCTGTTATGACCTTATCTCATTGATATTTCCATGAAGCGTCCTTATCGCGTTCTATTTTTTGGTAACCACTCTATATCAATAACCGGATATTCGGTTAATGATAGCACACGTCTTTATTTCAAGGAGCGGATATTTTTTAACCTTTAATTAATTTGAACTGATTGCCTTGACTTTTCAATTTTTAAAAATTCTTTTTTAAAATATTTCGGCTTAAGATTCAGATTTCATTAAACAAGTCATCGGATTGTTTGAATGAAAATGAATGAGAAGAACAAAAAAAACAGGTAGCCTTATTCATATAATCAATCCTAAAATATTAATTTATTCACCAAAAAAAGACAAATCCTAGAAATCCTAAGATATTAGTTTGTTCACCAATCCTAAGATATTAGTTTGTTCACCAAAAATATTAGTTTTATTTTTAGGATTTGTCTTTTTTGAAAATATTAGTTTGTGATAATGAGGAGTTACCAAATAATCAAACTCATAATGTTGTGTACAAGGAGGTTTTTAATAATATATGATTGTTACCGAACTTTTTATGATTCAACAATGTTCCTATGTATTTTAATGATTTCAATTTCGATTCTAATGCACGTGAGGTTATATTATTCTTCCAAATTTTACATTCCGTACATCGCACGTGTTACGTACTAGTTTACAAATAAGATAAACAGAATTTGCTACTTTATAGTGAGTGACTATGCTTGTGGCATGAACCAAACTCCAAACACAACTTGTGTGACAAATTCACGGTCAAACTAAAGTAAATTTCATTAAAAAATATACTACCGTGTAAGGAAAACGAATTACTCGAACATAATTTTCTCTTTCTACGCAATTTGAGAACCATTTTCAGCACAAGGTCTTGCAATGCAAATTTTGTATGCCATAAGCATGTACACAAAATCTCAAATGGTACACAACCATTTATTGATTTTTACCCAAAATTAAATCCCAATAAAATCCATGACTTTTGACTGTGAAAGCTGGGAAAAAAATGCTAAAAAGATTTGAGCAATATATTGTTTGGCTAATTGTAGATTGGGAAGAGTTGATTGCATTAACATATAGTAACTTATAACATATTTTAAGCTGATTTGACTAATGCAATGTACTAACAGTTTGTAGATTAATGTTATTATAATAACTGATTTCACTAAGACATTGTAGATTATAATTTGATATATAGGGTTGGTATAATTATTTTAAAAATTTTATGTTGTGTTATTTTATGAATCATCTCTATTCAACATGCTACTCCGTTGAGATTTTTCAAAATTAACAATTTAGGCTAAAAAAATTAATTAAATATGATTTTTACCAAACAAGTTAATTAGCAGATATCAACCTCAAAATAAAGATGAATATATTAATTTACATCAATTTGCTAACGCCAATCTAAGTTATAGTCACAATATAGCACTAATATGTCTTTGACATTTCTCTTTCTTAGGGACAAAATTGGAACTTGATGCATTTTAAGCAAAGACAAAAGTCAAAAAAGGGTAGTCTTTGTACTAAAAAATAAAAAAACAGGGTAGTCTAGCAAATTATGAGTGGAGAAGTGCAAAATCCACAAAATAAAATCTGTACATTATGAAAATGAACAATAATAATAATAATAATAATAATAATAATAATAATAATAATAACAATTCATAGAAATATCATAAATATAATTTGATATTCCTCAGATAAACACAATATAACAATTCAGGAGATCTTGACCGTTTTGATTATTTATTTGTGAGCAGCAATCTCTTTACCCTCATAAGTACACGTGCTGCCTTTCATTTCTCTCTCTCTCTCTACTTTCTCTTTCTCTTTCACACATTATGTAATTTGCTTCCCTGCATGGAATTCTCCTACTACAACACACACAACAAACAACAAATGCAAGAGAGAGAAAAAGGGGGATGATTTTTATGTTACATTGGGAGAATTATAAGGAAGAAAGAGTCTTTTGCTTTCTGTTTTTTATCCTTTATCTTAGCGAAACCCATCTGTTCAAAACTTTGATTATTTCCCAAATTAAATCCTTTTTTTTTTCTTCATAATCTTGGAACATTAATACCTTGTGGGTTGTCAAAATTTTTCCTTTTTCCATTTTATTCTATTTTTAAAATTTTCATTTTCATTTTTCTCTCTGTGGCTCCAAAATTACATAAATGGGATTTCAAGTGTGCTTTTATATTCCTTCTGTTGTGGGTCTGATCTTTTTATTCACTCCCACATTAAACTGTCACATTCAAGCAGTTTGCTGATCTTTTTTTCCTCCGTCACTTGCGTGGTAGCCAAAAAAGGTACAAGCTTTGTGATCTGCAAAGATTCTTGATTTTTAACTTGAAATCAACTTCATTTGTATTCAATTCATTCGTATTCAATTTCTTTGTTTGATTTTCTGATCTGGGCTGGCTGAGTTCATTTTTTAGGTTGCTCTGTTTTGTTAAGCAGTTCTTTTTAAGTAGCAGATCAAGAAATACTTCAATCTCAACTGATCTTGATTTTCAGCANTCTTAACATATCACATCAAATCAACTCATCCATGGCTGAGGAGGGTTATTACTATGAATCAAGATTTATCTGCAAGCTTTGCCAAAAAAAATTCCCATGTGGGAAATCACTTGGGGGTCACATGAGGTCTCATGTGGTAGCAAATTCATCCGAATCAGACGAAATTTTCGAGAAAAAAATCCAATCCTTCGTCGATTTCGACCATCAAACCACCTCCAAAGACTCGAAAATCGCCGAATTAATAAACGGGCAGCAGTCGAGCTACGTGTTGAGAGAGAATCCCAAGAAAACATGGCGTGCAGCCGACACTTCACGAATCCCATTGCCTCAGGACAAAATCTGCAAGCAATGTGGGAAAGGCTTTCAATCTATGAAGGCTTTGTGTGGACACATGGCTTGTCATTCAGAAAAGGATAAAAACTCGAAAGACGATAGCTCTTGGACAAGCGAAAATCAAAAAGCGGTGCTCGACAGCTGTTCGGATACTGAAGAAGGAGAAGAAAGGAGAATCAGAACGCGATCATGTTCAAAGAGCAAGAGGTACAAGAAATTCGTCGAGAAATCTCATTTTTTTGCTCTGTCTAACAATAATTATAATAATGTGAATGGCTCTTCGTCTATTTCGGAGATTGATGGGCAAGATCATGAAGAGGTAGCTATGTGTTTGATGTTGCTGTCGAGGGATTTAGGGAATAATACTAATAATAATAATTATTCGGTTGTCGAGTCATCGGATAATAACTCGGTTGTCTTGGAGACTAAGTCTTCTTCTATCGAGATGAGGAAAATCGAGAATGAGAAGAAAATCGCGAATAACGATAGTGATGATAAGTTGAAAGGCAAGATTTTGGAGGATGATTTCAATTCCGATTCCGGCTATTTCTTGGATGAGTGTGCTAAATCCGAGTCCGACTTATCGGTTGATTGGCTCAAGAAGAAGAGCTTGAAAAAGAACGAGCTGCTGCAAAAATCGAGCAAGGGTGATGAAGATTATTACGATGATGATGATCGTGATGTCGAATCTCGAAAGAGAAAATATTTGGCTTCTCAAAAAAATCCCGACTGTAAAAAGAGCAAATACGAATGCTACAATTGTAAGAAGGCTTTCAAGTCATATCAAGCTCTTGGGGGCCATAGGCCTTGCCACAAAAGGACGAATGCTTTTTTCGAGAATAGATATGAGAGTGGGGAAAATAGTCCAGACGAGTCTGCGGATTACAGCAAGAAAAAATCGAGCGCTGCTAAAAAGACTAAGGGTACTACTATTAAGGGAAAAGACCATGTTTGCCCTTTTTGCGACAGGGTTTTTAAGAATGGTCAGGCTTTGGGTGGACATAAGAGGTCACATTTTATTATAACAGGTTCTGTTGAGAATGTGAATGTGAATGAGAATTCGAGTCGTGCAGTTAAGGCTGACGAGCCTCGAGGTTTGCTTGATCTTAATCTTCCGGCTCCTGAAGATGATGGGGATAACTAACTAGTTCGGTTATTGTTTTTAGTTTAATTCGAGATAAACAGAGGTATGGTTTGATGCTTGCTGCTGATTCTTTTTAGTTCGAATTCTGTTACTAAAATGTGTCAGAAAATGGTGAACAGTTATTTATTCTTGCATTTTTATGCCTTCGGTTTTTCTTTTTCTCGTTTTATGCTTTGGGATGAGTCGTGAGGACTCGAACGAGGTTGTTTATTGCTCCTTTTCAAGGATTGACTTGGCAATATAGATGGATTTTTGTAGTGATTTATAATTTATTTGGTTGATTTTTTTTTTTATGTTGGTGCTTTTCTGGAGAAAAAAGTTCAATTTGGTGTATGATTTTGAGTGGTTTATGTTGAGGCCCTGGAATTATATAGTTTTTATCTCTTTATCATCACAATAATTGTGCTTCATAACAGATTAGAAAGTCCTTAGGTAAAACCATTCAGTTGTTGAGGAGACAATTAAAAAGTGGTTCAAAGTGCTTGTTAACCAAGCAAAGTTTTTGGTCATGAAACAAGCCTGTCAAAGCAGCTTCTGTCTTCAGATATATTGGTTGCTTGGATTGGAATTGAAGTTACTAACATATTTTACTTAATTTCATTTCGTCTCACTAGTTTATTTTATAAATGATTCATGAAGTTACAAGTAACTATGATCAAATGAAGATTTGGATCTTATGAGCTTCAGGAAAATATGATGAATTCTTGTCCTAATATGCAATTTCTACTGTTGTCCCTTTTTTGTTGACTTGCGAGAACATATACTGATGTAGAGCGTATGTATGAACGGGATAGAACACGATCAATTCTCAAGAGAAATCTCAAATTTCATAACAATCCAGTCTGCCCTCTCTAAAGAGAAGACGATTATTCATATACAGATTATTGCCCTACTGCAAAAGCCCATTAACAAAAGGCCCAACAACTGAAAATAATAGTAATAGCCCAACATTAAATAAAAGATTGAAACGACACTTAATATGCTAGATACGAAGACGGTCATATTTGTTTAAAAATGCTATCGCGGTCTCGTCTCCATCATATACCTATAGATAAAAATTCTATGGAGCCATTCACCACTTAATGTATTGACACTTAAAAGTAGATGGGCCTATTTTGGCATAGCACATGTTACTTAGATGTAGGCTGCATTTTCTCTATATTTGTTATAACTTATAAGCATAACTATGAATTTTGAATAATTATTTGATATATACGAGATAGATAATTTTAACTCATACTTGATCGAGCATATTTTGAAGTACACAAGATGGATAATTTTAGCACTTAACGAGGATGATGGCATAATAATTACTTGATGGGAGGGAAAAAAATGCGTAAAATTTATGTGCCCACTAGTGTACACTATACAAAAGATATGAAACTCTACAATTCTACAAATATTGTAGTGGAGGATGTAATTTCCTCTTTTTTTTTTTAAATAATTATTTTTCCATCATACATTATTTTTAATTACTAGTATGTGGCCGTACATCAAAACAGTTAAATTATAAATTAAAGAAAAAATTATAGTCTCATTACAGAACAATTCCGTCGGGTTTTAAACATATAACGGTTAAAAATACCGAAGGAATGGTTTCGTAACGGGACTGTAGTGTTTTCCATAATATATAACTTAACATTCACCTTCATTTCCTCATGATGAAATACTTTATTTAGTTGAATTGTATTATATTTATTGGAACAAAAATTTCTCAATATTGAAATCAATATTTAATTTCAATAATCAATTTGACTCATAACATGGTCACCCCAGAGGCAACAAAAGTTATGTCTTATTTTTGGACGATTTTTACAAATGATCATAAATTGGTCCATTAGACATGTACAATAACCTAATTCATTAAACCGGTTGATCCAATTAAATTTCATCTTTTTATGGTAAATATAATTAATTTTATGGAATAAAAAATAATTTGTGATTCATATAGTAAATGTGTATAACAAATGACCATATATTACGACTCCAAATAATAGAATGGAAGACAAATTAATTTTTTTATTACATATATATATTTATAAAATAATACATATATAATTTTTAAAATTTTAAAATTAATTAATTGATTATAATTGACATGATGACTCAATACCAACATGAGTATGAACAAAGCAGTGATATAATGCATATTTATTATATTTTTGTAGTATGTTCTTCATAAGTTATTAAATATCATAAACAAACGATCTTCTAATGAATAAAGTGCATTAAAGATAAATTATATGCACATTTTATATCTTCAAACAAAATTCAATAAAATTATATAGATGTATATAAAATTGGTTATAATAATAATAATAATAATAATATATTGTAACAATATTATTATTATATATTGTAACAATATTTTGTAACAATAATAATAATTATTATTATTATTATTATTATTATTATTATTATTATATATTGTAACAATATTTTGTAATTCTGTTTGAGTAATTTTGCTATACAAAATTTGATTTTTAAACTATTGATATCACATCACTAAAAATAAAAATAAAAATATATTAGGTATAGATAAAAAGATTGATTAAAAGTTTTTTTAAAAATTTAATCCATAGATTTAGATCATCATTGATATCATATAACTAAAATAAAAATAAAAGTTTCATATTATAAGATTATTCGCTTTGAGATGTGACATAGTCCATGGTACTAAGTACATTATAAGATTATTCATTTTGAGATGGTGAAGTATGTACGCTCGTAAATAATTTTCAACTATCATCTCGAGGAAAGTTTGTTAAGGTGATCCATAACTAAATTCATCTAATAGGAAGACCGTGGAAGTGTGGAACTATATTTAAGTATTATAAATAAGAAATTATACTATTTACTGTAATTAGTTATCTGTGCATCCAATAACAATAAATTAATTACCATACATATTAAATAATTATTATGTACATCCAATAAATAAATATTAAGCAGGTTAAATAAATAATTCCATTAAACAGGAAAACAAATTAACAAATCTAACTATTGTGGTCATTAAATATAAGTCTCAGACATATAAGGAAATAAAATCAAATCCATGTCGGAATAGTATTTTTCCTCATCCGGCTGACGACTTTCCCATGGACAGGATTTCCACGCAATCTGCTTGTTGAAGCTGCAAGCTCGAAACTCCTGGCTATCTTCTCCGACAAGATGTCCGACCAACCCTAGTTCTTCTTCTCAATGAACAACATGAAGTCGCGCAACAGCAGGTTGATGATCCTTCGTCCACATCGTTGTCTTCTCCGGCAAGGATCTGAGTCCAACCAACCCGTCGCCCGATTGTGGTTACATAAAAATGTGGTTACAAGAATTCAGATATCACAATTGTTGTTACATAAAAATGCTATGTAAAAAATAAAATTAAGTTATATACTGAATATATACTGACTATAAACACAATATATACTGCATCTTAAAAAAAAAACTGAACATATACTGAATATAAACGCAATACATACTACCTATTCAAAAACTTGAGAATTGAGGAAGTGGCGGTTACATTGAATTGAACACCCTAATTAGTAGGATATCTAAATTACCA